AAGTGAAAATAGTTCTTGATTACTTCGGTCGCCCAAATCTTTAAAAACAAGGGTGCGCCGCCTATGTGCTACTGAGATATAACCCAATATATTCCACATTTTTGGCTACTGACCACATCCCAATTCCCAGAGGTGAACGGCATTTTACCGCTCTTATTTTCCCAAGCCACAAAAGCCTAAGGGGCATCGATGTTGAGGGTTCAGCATTTGGCAACCAATGTGGTGAAGTCAGCATCCAATTCGTTGAGCAGCCGAACTAGTCCAACTCAGCCTGATTTGAGGGCCATTTGGAGAAGGAAGAGGAAGTAAATAGGGCAATTGACTTGTCTTTTGAACAAGTCGGCTCTAACCCTGTCTCTACTTTGGGCCGAATTGATTTGGCTTCCCTAGAAGACAACATTTTTACTGACTTGGGTGATTTACTAAGGGTCGATTCTGAGAACATAGTTGGAGAATCACTTGCGCAATTTTCTAGGAAAAGAAATGCCAAAAGGATGACTGCTAGGAAGAGAGCCAAAAACAGTGCCAGTCAAGAACCCCCTCCGGTGGCCGTTGTTGAGGCAACGGAACAAGGGATCATTGTAGTTGAATCGGTCTCTGAACAACAAATGGAAACTTTAGGCATTGAACAAAGGGGGGAGAAATGCCCCGTCGAGACCATTGCCGAGTCATCGGAGGCCGAGGAACCAATCGATAAATGGCCTAGGGTGGAAAAGACTTCGCATGACCTGGTCGTGCCGTTCATCATTCAACCAAGGATGAAGAATGCACTGATTGCCGCCGATGCGTCATCCATCAAAGACGCAGCTATGGCCCTAAGTGTGGCTTCGACAATTTTATTGCCACACGTATTCCGTGTTGAACCAGATATGATCTCAATCATATTGGCTGCTCAGTCGGCTATATTGGTACGTAACACTTGGAATTGTTTATTTTCTTTCATACGCCGACTAACTGTACCCTTGTTTTATTGTTTGTTAGGTGGCGGGAAGAATTGTAGAAATCGGCTGCCGTCTGTATGACGCTATAGAGAAAATTGGCATTCTAAAATCAGAATTTGAGTCGGAGAAAGGCAAGGCCAAAGCGACTATAGTCGACTTGGCGGTGGCATCAGTGAAAGCTGAGATCGAGGCTAAAAAGATGGAAGAGGAGCGAGCGAAGGCTGCCATCGAAGAAGAAAAAGCTAAACATGCTGATTTGCCTCAAATAGCTGTCGAGGAAAGGGAAAGTTTGACTGATGGCGCTTTGAAGTTGGCCAATGAAGAGATTGAAAAACTAAAAGCTGACCTCGCGGAGGTGAAGGCAGCGAAGGAGATCGCCGAGTCAAAGGCGATTGAGGCATTTGATGCCGGGGAGCTCGCGGCCACTGAGAAGTATGCCGATGAGGCCATAAAATTTGAAAATAGAGGCTTCAAGCACGGCTGGCTCAAAGCTCTTGCGGCCGCCAAGATGACACTGGATCAGCCGATTTCATATAAGCAGTTGGAAGTAGAGCCACTGGAATTGGACCCTGAGGAGGAGCTATGATGTCAAGCAAATATGAAGTTTCTGTTTGGTTTTTGTTAGCTTTGTTTTGTTTTGTTTTGTTTATTTAGGGTTGTGTTAGGGCCGTTTTATGGTCATTTTCATGTATAAAGTGGCGTCTGTATTTGCTCAGTTTATGACTAAAAATGGCCTTTCTATTTTTAAGACTGATGTGTAGTCGTTTGTGTACAAAGATTGCAGCATAAATAACTAACAACTGTTTTGTTAATAAGGAATCCAAATAGATAAGCCCGCGCTATAACAAAGAGCTCACGTTAGTGATCAAGTAGGGCATCGTGTTGTAATTCGACATCCACGTGATAAGCCAAATAGATTAATATATCAGCCTTTGCCTCAGTTGAACATGTCATGTCAGAGCTAACTAAAACACACCGCTAACTAGAGGTCGTGGGCCATGATTTTAAGTCATCCATAAATAAGCCTAATCCAAAGTCAGAAGCCGAATAGAACATGAAATTGGCTAGTAATATAATCAGCTACAATTTTAGAAGTTGAACAAACTTATTCATATATCAGCCCTGGAAGGACATCAAGTTGACTTCGATTATATACGGTAGCGACGGTTATTGTAGCGCATCAGAATCGTTGCATTCATAATTAATGAATAGGGTAGCCTGGCATTTATGGAGCCTCTGGCTTTTTTAATTAGACATGGCACAAACAATAAAAGGGCCATTCCATAAGTAAGAGAGTGAGCAGTGAACAGAATGTCAGAGGTGGTTGTATTGCGTCGTGGTGAGGAAAGTCGCATGTCTGTGAGGCTATTTTTCAATAATAAAGGAGAAGGGGGGAGCTTAACAGAACTGGGTACAGAAATGAATCACAGATCTGGTGGTGAACCTGTACGAGTGGGAAATGTGGCATCTGAGGGGTGAGAGAGACATCGATCACCCAGATCGTAGGTCCCTAAGGGGCGAAGTATAGAAGTTTCCCAGAAGTGGGGCACAACAAAAGGGAAGCACAAGGGCTGCGAGTAGGCAAGCTTCTTTGCGAAATGAGTCGATTAAATCACCACATCCTCTAAGTTTTTTGGTCTTTATTGGGAACAAACCTATGACCGAAGAGGACTCAATTATCCGTGACCCGAACCTAGTGGTGGAGTTTACCCGGCAGATATTTCCACCTGAAATACAATAATCCCTTTTTGGACGGGGCGATTATGAAGTTTTCAGAGAAGGTGTCCATGGGGCGATTAGAGGACTCTATAGCTCATGCGAGATTGGCATGCGCCTTCGTTCTGCACAAAGAGAAATTGAGCAGAAGGATGGATGCATTTAGAACTTGGAGCGCCGTGTAGAAAAGGTCGAGGCTGAGGTGCGAAAAGCCAGGGCCGCTGACACACAACCGGCGGGTGCGACTAATTCGGCTGTGATCGACAAAGTGAACCAATGCCTGATAGATCATGCCATAGCCAATCGTGACACAGAAAGTGTGTTCTCAAAAGAAGCAATACGATCACGGACTTATGAAGAGGGTTTTTTTGACAGATGAAAAATCGGCATTGAGAAGACTAAGAAAAAGTTAGCCGATGATGTTTGTCGATGAAAAAACCGTGGCTTTAAGCACGGATGGATCAGGCCCTTCAAGCTACTAGTATTGATTCGGCGTCTCCGCTATACGGTGACTACAAGGTTCCGTTCGAGGCCTATGATGCCGAAAAGACGGATGATAAAGAAGAGGCGGCCAAAGTGGAGAAGGCCTGATAGTAGGAAATCTATTTGTAAGATTTGGTCTATTAGAACTTCTGTAAGCAATATCTCTATTTGTAATAAATATTTTTGTATTCTATAATCAATATTTATTGTTTGAAATGAATATCCATTTGAACGATGAAATGTTCATTGTATTGTTAATAATGAATATACTGTCGACAGTTCTTACCACCAAGTTCAAACACGGTGCATCAAATTACCAACCCAAGAATGTAGGGTCGTTTGCAATGATCAATCATGATCAAGCACGAAAAGTGCTCCGAATTCGAAGGCTTTGTCAGCTAATTGTGTCGAGTGTGAAAGGCGCTCCGAATATGGAGACTTAGTAATGGCCAATTGTGCTCAAACATAAAGGGCGCTCTGAATTCAGAGGCTTTTTCGGCCAATCGCATCGAGCGTGAAGGGTGCTCCGAGTTTGGACTTTTTGTAAAGGCCAATCGTGAACAAACATGAAAGGTGCTCTGAATTTGGAGGCTCTTTCGGCCAATCGCGCCGAACATGAAGGGCACTCCGAATATGGAGACTTAGCAATGGCCAATTGTGCTTAAGCATAAAGGGCACTCCGAATTCGGAGGCTTTTTCGACCAATTGTGCCAAGTACTAAGGGCGCTCTGAATTCGGAGGCTTTTTCAGCCAATCGCGTTGAACATGAAGGGCGCTCCGAATACAGAGACTTAGCAATAGCCAATTGTTCTCAAACACAAAGGGCGCTCCGAATTCGGTGGCTTTTTTCGCCTATCACACCGAGCATGAAGGGCACTCTGAATTCGGAGGCTTTTTCGGCCAATTGAGCCGAACGAAGGGCGCTCTGAATACGGAGACTTAACAATGGCCAATTGTGTTTAAGCAGAAAGGGCGCTCTGAATTCGGAGGTTTTTTCAACCAATTGCGCTGAGCACGAAAGGCGCTTAAGATCCAGTATATGAAAGCCATGAGGAATCATTGGTTAACTGTAAAGATGCACAGACGATTACATAGCAAAAAACACGCAATTACAGAAGAAAAACAAAACAATGACAACCTTAGCGTCATTTAATGATAAAATTTGCGCAAGCGGGTCATATTCCATGGTCGAGGAAGTTTTTTGCCAGTCATGTCCAAGAGCTGATATGCTCCTGCCCCGTCAATCGAGTCAATTTGATAGGGGCCATTCCAATTGGCACCCAGTTTTTCGTCTGCTGGATTTTTTGTGACAGGAAGCACTTTCTTGAGAACCATCTCCTTAGGCACGTAACAGTGTAACTGCACGTGCTGGTTATACGATTTGGTGAGCTGTTGTTGGTACCATGCCATGTGCACAAGAGCTTGATCTCGGTGTTCTTCAATAAAATTTAGGTCTAAGGCTAACATCATATCATTTCGTCCTATGTCAAAAGCTTTCGACTTTAGAGTGGGCAAGCCGATTTCAAGAGGAATGATAGCTTCTGTCCCAAAGCGCAAGGCCAATGGTGTTTCTCCAGTGGATCACCATGGAGTAGTGTGATGGGCCCACAACACACTAGGCAGTTCTTAGACCCACTTGCCCTTGGCCTTTTCCAACAGTTTCTTGATTCCATTCAGGACCACTTTATTAGATGCCTCAGCTTGATCATTGCTTTGCGGATAAGCTGGTGAAGAAAAGTAAGGCTGAATACCATATGTATCGCACAATTCCTGATAGACGCCACAGTCGAATTGGGTGCTGTTGTTAGATATAAGTGCTCGAGGTATACCGAATCAGGTTATAATGTTCTTCCATACAAATCATTTGACATCTACGTCCTGAATATGTGCCAGTGGTTCTACCTCGACCCATTTTGTGAAGTAATCCGTTACAACAATCAAGAACCGTTTACTTCCTAGAGCCCTTGGTAGTGGTCTGACGATGTCCAAGCCCCACTGAGCAAAAGGCCAAGGACTAGTAACAGAATTCAATTCTTCAACAAGCAAATGAGTCAAGGGAGAAAACTTATGACATTGTTCACACTTCTTTACATAATTCTTAGCATCAGTTCGTATGGTCGGCCAATAATGTCCTTGGGTTACGGGTCGATGGGCAAATGAGCGCCCTCCAGAATGGGCACCACAACTGCCTTCATGTTTTTCGGCCAAGAAATCCTCCATCTTGTCTGGATGAACACATTCCAAATACAGCCCTGAGAGAAACATTTTGGAGAGCTTTCCATGGGGATCTAAATAGTACCGCAGGACTTTGTTCCGCAGCTTATGGGCTTCCTTCTTATCTGTTGGCAACTGTTCTGAGGATAAAAATGTGGTGATAGGATCCATCCAACTCGGCCCTAGGTCAATGACATTGACACAAATAGAATCGATGAGACTAATACTCGGCTCTAGGATGAATCCCATCTCAATGGTTCGTTTAACTTCCGAATTGATGGCAGAAGCCAAACAGGCAAGGGCATCCGCATGGGTATTTTGATCACGGGTAATCTGATTTAGCTCGTGGTGGTCAAACTTTATGAGCAAGGAATTTGTCGTCTTCATATAGGCTGCCATTCGGTCATTTTTAGCCGCATACTCCCCCTTCAATTAATTGATGACCAACTTTGAGTCACAGAAGACCTGTAATTGCTTGGTGTCGAGGTGAAGTGCGTTATGTAGGCCAATTAGCAAAGCTTCATATTTGTCCTCATTGTTTGATGCATCGAAACCTAGTTTGACTGCTTGCTTGATTATTGCGCCTTCGGGGGTCATGATCACTACTCCTACCCCACTACCATGCTGGTTAGATGATTTATCGCAGTACATCTGCCAAATATCCCCGACATACATTCTCCACTCCTACTGGGGTTGGAGGGCTAGCTGTCCTGGTTCGAAGTCTGCATGACATCCCATAAACTCGGTAACGAAGTCGGCCAAAACTTGCCCTTTAATAGCCGTTCTGGGTGAAAATTGGATGTCATATTGGCCGAGTTCTAATGCCCATTTTGAGACACGCCCTGATGATTCTGCACTACGATGTACTGTTTGGAGGGGGTAGTCCGTTAATACCTTTATCGTATGGGCTTGGAGATAGTGCATTAATTTCATGGCGGCCACCATAAGGGCCAGGATAAGCTTTTCCAACGGTAGGTATTGTGTCTCGGCATCCACCATCGCCTTACTAACATAGAACATGGGTCTTTGTTTTTCGAGTTCTTTCTTTAGCAGCATGACGCTGACCGCCCAATCTGATACCGCAAGATACAAGATGAGTGGATCACCTGGCAATGGAGTTGCTAACAGTGGTACGGAGCGGAGATAAGCTTTCAATTCGTCTAGGGCAGTCTAGCATTCGGGGATCCATTGAAATGCTTTTCCCTGCTGAATCGTGTAAAAAAATGGTCTACAATGATCGAAAGAACGGCTGATGAATCTGTTGAGAGTCGCGGCCATCCCCATCAATTTCTAAACTTCTTTGACTGATTGAGGTGATTTGAGTTCAATGATGGCCGTAATCTGTTTCGGATTGGCCTCTATTCCATAATGGTTCACAATATAGCCGAAGAATGTGCTAGATCTGATACCAAATGCACACTTCGAGGCGTTGAGTTTCATCTTGTATTTGCGGAGAATATCGAAAGTTATGGCCAAGTCGGCTAAGTAAGTATGCTTTTCTTTGGATTTTACTACCATGTCGTCGATATACACTTCCATGGTATGATTGAGTCGTTCTTTAAACATGGTGGTGACCAGCCTCTGATATGTTACCTTGGCATTCTTCAGGCCGAAGGGCATTACCTTGTAACAATAAGTTCCCCTCGGGAAGAGGAATGCTGTTTTTCCCTGGTCCTTCGGATGCATGGCGTTTTGGTGGTAACCTCTGTACGCATTCAATTTGGTGGTAACCTCTATATGCATCCAAGAAACTCATGTGTTAGTGATGTGCAGTAGTATTCCCTAGTTAGTCAATTCTGGGAAGAGGGAAACAGTCCTTGGGATAGGGTTTATTCAAGTCCGTGAAGTCCACGCAGACACGCCAGATCTATTTTTCTTCTTTACAGCCACGTATCGGATAACCACATGGGGTAAGTTACTTCGCGGATTGCCCCAGCCTCTAGAAGCTTGTTAACTTCAGCAATAACGGTCGAAGTGTGCTTGGCTGCCGATCGATAACTCTTCTAAATGATAAGTTTGACTTTAGGGTCGACATCAAATGGTGTTGTGCCACACTGGGATCCACTCCCGACATCTCGTATGGTGTCCAAGCGAACACATCAATATTGTCGAGTAGGAATGAAACCAACTCCTGTGCCGATCATGAAAAATTTATCTGGTTCATCTGCGATTCCAATCCGATCGAGATCTTCAGTTGCCTTGTCGGCGAGGGATTTTCCAACATCCTCGAGGCTTTCTCGGTCTAGAATTTTAAGAGCCTCAAATCTGCTCAATGCCATGTTTCATTGGGAAGCGAAGTAGCTGGTGGTAAGTGCTTGGTATGGCTTGCATTGTGTGCAACTAGGTTTTCCCCATGATTACATTGTATAGTGATGGAAGCTTGATGGCCAGAAACTCTACATCAATTATCCCGGTGCCTGTACGCACCGCAACTGTGACCTTGCCCAGAGAGTATTCAGGGTTAGCGTTGAAGCCGAACAAGGGATATTCGGTCGGCAATAGATCCGAATCATTGAAGCCAAGCTTAAGAAATGTTTTGTTGTACATTATCTCTGAGGTGCTCTCCTGATCAATCGAAACGCGTTCGACGATGAATCTGTTTACTCATAACTCGATGACAAGGGCATCATCGTGGGAGAGGATGACCACTTCAAGTTTTGTGTCATCGAAGCTAATCTTGCCGGTCTGATGAGGCCATTTGGCAGGTGTGCATGGCTTGGACGGGCATGGTTGTAGCTGAATCATATGTACGTCGTTTGGCAGCATAAGACTATATATCATATGAATCACACCATGTGGAGGTGAATCCAGGCGTAGAGCTACCGTGTTTGATGGCTTGACCTTGTGGGGAAGGTACTGAACCAGTCGGCCATCCTGTACCAGTTCCTCAAGATGGTCCTTTAAGGCATAGCATCTGTCGGTTTCATGCCCGTGGTCCTTGTGGTATTCTCATCGCCGATCTCTTTGTCTTGTGTCGGGGGGCCCAATCATCTTGGCCGACCACTTAAAGAACGGTAGATGCTAGATTTTGGGAAAGATCTTGCTAATTGGCTTGGTCAACTCAGTATACTTCTTGTCGCACCATTTGGGGCATCTGTTTTCCACTTGATATTGTTTGGTCGATCAGGATGAATACTATTCCCTTGATCGGCGTTTATCTCGGTGATTTTCTCATTTTGGCCTGGTTCGCGGCTCGAGGCTCCTTTCTGGTGGTGTAACACTTATCGGCTGCACCAAGATAGGTGTTGCCATCTCCACGACCTTCTGACCAGCTTTGACGCGAAGGGCATCATCCCCCACCTAGCAGTACTTCTCAACCTTCTTCATTAAGGCCCAGATTATTTTAGGAGGTCGTCTGGTCAATGAGCTTCTAAGTGGACTATAGGGGTGTAAGCCCATCTTAAAGGCGGTGATGGCCATGGAGTCATTGCAGGCATCGTCAACCAGGTTGAAGCATTCCCAATAGCACGTCGAGTATTCACGGAGGGTCTCTTCCGGCTTGATTTGCATTGCCCAGAACGAGTCGACTTGCTTTAGTTGGATCTCGTTGGTGATAAATCTTGTCCTGAAGGATTTTTGGAGCTAATGGAAACTCTTAGCTGAGGTTGGCTCGAGTTTATAATACCATCTAACGGCCAACAATCCCATGCTGCTAGGAAACATGCGGCACATATGTGCTTCATCATCAGCGTGCAATGTCATCGCTTGCTTGTAATGGCGAATGTGATCTGTAGGATCTGACTTACCATCATACAAAGTAAATGTCGGTGCTTTGAACTTAATAGGTAGCACGACCCTTGTGATTTGTCATACAAAAGGATCATGTTTGTCCTCTACATCCAAGCCATCATCTCATTTTCCTCACCTGTGTTGCACACATGGACTTCCCTTAGATGAGCTGGACATGTTAACTCGTCCCTTTTTCCTGGGCTCCTAAGATGATGAGTCGAAGGTGTTGCTGTTATCATGTTTCCGATGCCAATGTCGTTGATTATCCTTCTTCTCTGGCGACTGGCCCCTGTCATGATGTGATATGGTCTGCTGGGACTTTGCCACTTCCAGAGCTTGTTTTTTACGTAAACATTCGTTATTAGACGTCATATCTTCCAGATGTTGTTCGTTTTTCTTTGCTTGGTCCATTACCATCTGCATGGTTTCCTGCACCGAGGTCGAAGGCAAGGGTTGAGCTACCAGGTTGAAGTTCAGGGCTCTTCGTGCGGTGATATTTTTCGGACTGAACATGGTTCTTAGTGTAACATCATCCGCAATGAGCGAAGGATCATCTGTTATGTCTGCCATGAACAAGCTTGAGTATTTCCACAGACGACGCCAATTGTGGTGAAGTAGATTTGGAAATACTCTCTGGTCTAAACAAACCTTCTTGATCCTCTCTTCTCTACGAACTAGATAGTCTTCTCTCTGATCTTTGTTTTCTCACAAGTTATCCCCCCTATCTTTGATCATTGCTCCTTCTTTTATATTATTCTCTCGGGCCCCCCGGGCCCATTTCTCCCTTTCAGGCATCTTGGCTTCGTAGTTGGGCCCCCACATGGCCCACAGGATATTTGACTAAGTCGGCTCTTAAGCTGGATTCAATTCGACTTTTACTCAGCTATTGCCTATTCACTGGGCTTTTGAACAAGGCTGACTACATAGGCTACATGGGCTTTCAAATATGGCCGACTTGTATATGGCCCTATTTCTTCATGGGTTGGCTTTTGGGCCTCAATTCCATTGATTAAAATCGGCCCCCACAATTGCAACAGCCAAAGGCTTGTGACACATAGCTCAGTGAAGATAGCAGCACCATAATGATGCGTAACTGTGTAATTGATATGGCAGTTACTTTGTTAGTCAGTTAAAGAGTTTGTTAGGCCGTTAGATTGTATATGTATGTATAGTTGGTTAGAATAGCAAAGATAGGTGATTGTATAAAAAGACCTTTGTAATTGAGATATGATAAATGGAAATGGAATAAAGAATTTCATCATGGTACTAGAGCTTTCAAGCTCAAGCGAGCAAGATCCTCCCATGGCGAAATATTCTTCCTCAGCTTCAATCCCTACCAATCTCAGTCTACTCATATCAGATCTTTGTTCATTAGTTATTGTTAAGCTTGATTCATCCAATTTTCTTATATGGAAAAGCCAAATCCAAAATGTGCTTTGTGCAACAAGTTTGCTTGGTTATGTAACTAGATCAATTGCTTGTCCTACTTGAGAAGTTATTGATTCCACTAGAACGTCATAATTGAATCTAGATTTTACTCAATGGGAGGTAATTGATGCATATTTTCTTAGTTGTTTAGTTGTAACTCTATTTTCTTCAGTTTACTCATTTGTTCTTCATCATACTCATTGCTTTCAAGTATGGCAAGCTCTTGAAAAATGATTGACCTCATTGTCAAGATCACACATTCATCAGTTGAAGACAAAATTGCAATCAATTACTAAAAAGTCTCTCTCTACGGAAGAATATCTTGCTCAGATCAAAACAATTTCAGATCAATTGTTTCTTGCATCTGCAATTATTCATGATAAAGATATGATTCTTATCATTCTCAATGGCTTACCTAAAGAATACAATGCTCTCAAAACAGCAATTAGAGCACAATCTGAGTCTTTTTTTATGGAAGAGTTGTCTTCTCTGTTATGTTCTAATGCAATTCATGTTGAACAAAAACTCAAACATGTTGATGATCATACTCTTGTTGTTGCCTATTCAGCATCAAAAGGTTCACATCCTAATTCTTCATTTGCCTTTGGTTCTTCATCCAAATTTTCCTCAAATTTGTACCATGGATCTTATTCTCATAGCAGAGGTTCATATAGAGGCAAAGGTCAATTTTATAATCATAATGATGGAAATCGTAATTCTCGATTCCTTAATTGAAATAACAATAGAAACAGATCACAGTTTAATTCCATTGGTTATCAAATTTGTGGCAAGCCAAGCCACACTGCTATCGATTGTTGGCATCTTACGAATCCATCTTTCCAACCATTGCCTTCCTCTTCTCCACTTCTAACTAATCCCTCAAATCAAGAGTGTGCAGTAACAATTCCCTCATCTGCTTACAACTTTTCATCACCTCATTCTTTCTCTGTGCCCCTGGTATATTGACTCTGTTGCTATAAATCATCTCACGAATGATCACTCAAATTTCCATCTCTCACAGCCTTATCAAGGACAGGATCAAGTGACTGTTGGTAATGGTTCCACTTTGCCCATTCATCATGTTGGCATAGGTCTTTTGCCCACTCCTACCTGTTCTTTTACTTTGAACAATTTGTTGTATGTACCTGCTATTGCTTCTAATCTTTTGTCTGTTCAGCAGCTCACTCGTGATCATAATTGTGTTATTTTTTTTGATGCCAACTATTTTCAAATCTAGGACAAGCTTACGAACAAAATTCTTTATAGTGGATCTAATGTGAATGGCTTATATCAATTCTCTCCTTCTTCTGTTGCTTCACCACAGGCCTATCATGCTCACTCACCTGCTTTTGTTAGTGCACTCTTTTGGCATCAATGATTGGGGCATCCTTCCCCTTTAAAGTTTCAACACATTATCAAGCATTTGCTTTATTTTTCTTCTAATCATGTTGATTGTTCTACTACTTGTAATAAGCTTGCTTCTTATACAAATTATGTTGTTGCTAAAATTCATAGACTACAATTCAAGCTCTCTTATACTTCTGTGAATGCTCATTTTTCTTTGATTCATAGTGATATTTTGGGACCCTTTAACTCTTCTGCTAATAGCTTTAAATACTATGTTTTGTTTGTGGATGACTTTAGTAGGTTTTCTTAGGTCTACCCCTTATATTACAAGAGTGAAGTTTTTGCTAAGTTTTTAGACTTCAACTCTTATGCTAAAAATTAGTTTCACACCTCTCTTAAAATTTTACGCACTGATGGTGGTTCTGAGTTTGTTAATAAGAAGCTTGATTCATTTCTTGCATCTAATGGAATCATTCATCAACAGAGTTGGCCCTATACTCAGTCTTAAATGGTGTGGCTGAAAGGAAGCACTAACACATTTCTCAAACAGCTATTGCTCTTATTCGTTGGTCAAATTTGCCTCTTTCTTTTTGGTTTGATGTTATCGCTACTTCAGTTTTCTCATCAATCGCATGCTTAGCTCTATTTTGCATAATGTCTCTCCCTATAAGACTCTTTTCCATCATCCTCCTGATTCCTCTTCTTTTAAAGTGTTTGGCTGCCAATGTTTTCCTTGGCTCAAGCCTTTCACTTTTCATAAACTTCAACCTAAGTC